CTATTTCCTTGGGCAAACCAATTCCTCTCATCAGCTACAGGGACATCTAACTTAGCCACACACAACAGCTACCACTGGAAGCATCCACAGCCAAGCTGGGTATATTTTCCTGAGACTGCCTGCAGCAAATTGAGAACATTCACAGCACTGTTCTAACATGATGAGTAGGACCTCAAGTTCCCTGAGCCTTCAGCAGAGCCATCCGTTTCTAAAGATGCCCCTAAACAGGTCCCTGAAGAATGGCCACGAAGGGAATTTATACACTATGGTCAATCTACCATCAATTCACACCCTCCCTGAATAAGCAGTGACCTCACTGCATGGGCAAGCCTTAAAATAATCCCCTTACATTTAATCAGAAGCTCTTGGATTTGGAAAACATCATCAAATTTACTCCCATGCAGAGATGAGCACACGAGATCAACATCTCAGGAAACCTGAGGGAACACACATGGTGCTCCAGCTGGCTGGCAGGACAGGTCAGATGCTTTCCACTTTTACCTTCACATCCCTCACCTCTCTGCCACAATTACTGCTTGGAACCAAGAAATGGAAAGTCCAATTGTTGGATTTACATGAAAATATTTTGTTGCAGTGTCTTTATATACTAGAGCTGTGTCTCCATGCTACAGATACAAATGTAACTTGAAAATCCGTTTTTCTTCTTTCTAAAACAAATCAATTCTCTGATCCCAAATCAGAAATTCAGCTCCGAGTAAGAATTCTACACCACAGAAATTTCAAGTTCCAGAATGTCTAAGGGAACAGAAATTCCAGTTTTCAAATGGCTGTCAGGTGAGTACTTGGTCCATTCACCTTCGATAGTATCATTATTATTATTCAAAACATCCCAAGCCCTACCTAGCTTGTTTCTACAAGTAACTGGTACTGATGAGATATCATGCAATGAAGCAAACTGTATAAATATGGTGTTGTTTGGTATTTTTTTTCTCCTCCTTTCAGGTCCACCCCACCGAAGCTCAGCTTTGGCTGAAGGAATAGATATTTATTCAGTACCTTCTCCCCAGTTTCTCTCACCCATACCTTGCCCGCCCCCCCCCCCCAGATTCTGAGCAATTCTGAAGTAAAAATCTGTTTGTTTCTAGAAGCAGCAGCGTCAAGTTCTTACTGAGTGCCCCCACAGCCCTTTGGCTTCAGCACAGTGCTGAATGCTGACGCAGAGGCTGAGACAAAGGATTGTGTTTTGAAAGTAGATAGAAGTTTTCGAGCACTCTTCATGTGAAAAGGCTATAAGATATATTTCAACAAATCTAATGCAATAGGATGTCAAACACCCATTTAGGCAAGGACTCAAGCAGAGACAGAGAGTAGTGGAGAACGAAGTCTGCAGAGTTGAGTTACCAGCACCAGCCCTTGGATGAGCAACGCCATTCCCAAAGCAGAAACATCCAAGAATCTTGTAAAACAAACATTTCAATTTACCTTAACAGAGGTCCTGCTTGATCCCAATCCCTCTACAGTCCTCTCATGGGCCAGGAGGGAGGTTGGGAAGGCACTGCTGCCTGTCTCACCTTCCAACAGCAGCACACCCTGCTTCCAGGCTGGGTTTTGCACAGCCGGGCAGCTTTACCAGGAAGCATCATTCAGGTGTGGTAGTGTGGGATTTAGATGGCAGGTACAAAATACCTCTGCTGCTTTCACAGCTCTTTGCTAGTGCTGGGAGAGATGGTTTTGTTTATGTGCAAATGCAAAGCATCCAAAGATAACTAAATCCCTCTGCCTTAAAGCTTCGGGAGTTCATAAAAACATGAACTTCCCTCTTTATATAACCTGCTACTATCAGAGAATGCATTCAGCACATAAAAACTACAGGTCTTCATGCAAATGCTGCTTCCTGTGTGAATTCATCCTTAGCTTTATAGGATGATTAGTCCTGTGCCTAATCCCTCTGGCTCCTTGCAGTAGGAAAGCATCTTAAAGTATTCTTAACAGTGCCAGCAAGATGAGAAGCTTGGGTTCAAAGAAAGAATCAGTGGCCTGGAGGCAAGGGAGTCACATTGCCTTAATCTGCCCAACAGACAAGAGGAACCAGTTGGAACACCTTCACATCACGTCAGCACAGGGGTGGACTTAAGCTCTTACACACCATGGAAATCACTATGAAATCACCATTTGAATGCAAAGTTCATAGTTTCTATACTTTCCTCTAGAGATATCATTTCAAACCACAATAACAAAATGCACCCAGTGACATCAGGCTAAAAACAAAACAACTTCACATCTGACTGTATTTTGGGTTCTTTTCCAACTGTCTCAGTGATGCAGCCAGCTAAAATCATTGAAAATTTCCCCTCATCCCAGCAGAGCTAGAATGACTTTGGTTTTGACTACAGGAATTGGAGCTTCCAGGAAAAGGAAAAGAAAATAAGTTACTGCAAAGCTTGTAGTAACACCAACAACAGTCACGTTCAGTCATACTAAGCAACAGCTGGAAGCTTGGTCACATTCCTGGTACTAAATGCATCCTTGAGTTTTCCAAACTAACTGCCAGACTTACTGTAGGAGAAAAAAAGACCCTTGTATCACTTCAGTGGGAACAAACTGGTCCCTTTTCTCCCTTTACCAGCATTTGCTTTCAGTTTTGTGCCACGAAATCAGATGGATGCCTCCGTGGGTACAATGTTGTAAGCAAGTTGGCAGCCAGCAGATCCCCAAATCTTTCTGTAGCCAGAACAGTACACATAGCAGCAGACAAGGAAGTGTGATCACATGTAACAGCATTTCTTATGCTGTGAGAAATAAAATGAAGCCTTACAGGACTCTGAAATTCAAGGAATCAAATCCATACCTGCCATGAATAAAATTGCTTAAGAGTTGACGACCTCATTTCAAATCAGTTCAGACTTTGGCTCCAGTTTTTCAGGTAGCAGCTTCAATCTTCTCTAAATATTTAGAAACAGTTTGTTTGCTCTAAACCAGCAGAAGTCAGCGGAGAATCTCTTCAGTAACAGGGCTCAGAAACGCAGACTCATTTTTTGATCCCATGGCTTCTTCACAATAGCAAACTGTGTGGACTTGGTACTCTGCCTGCTTTTAGCAGTGTTGATTTCAGTACAATAATTTCTGTTATCTGTATTTATACTGCAGGAATTTGTTTTTAAGAGCCTAGAAACTACCAAGCTGACCGAATTACCCCCGGAAAAGACACACCTTTGGGGGCAGAGTTTAAGTGCAAAGAACAATCACAATCTGCATAGGCTAATTCAAGTCCAGATCTGCAGTAACATTCATCCAGGTGCGTGGCAGAAATTGTCAGGCAGCCCCACTTTGCAACCAGGATTTTCACTTCTTTCGAATGGAGAATCTCTGAACTTCCCATTAAGTAAATGGGAATACTGACTTCTTTTTGTTGTTTTTAAAGTAAGCTGTTGTTTACCTTGTTGCAGGCAAACTAATAGTAGGCTCTAAGATGCCCTGCCAAACCTGCAATTAAATTTTTCCTTAAACAGATCAGGAATGTAAGCATATGTCTTCAGTGCCACCCAACTATTCATATGCTATGAATCTGTCTCAGATGTAGAGCCCACGCTTTGGAATTACTATTAGTTCCCTTCCAGCATTTGCCTCGTCATTCTTGTGGTCATGTTTGATGGCCTCAGAGAGAGATTGCATTTAGATGAGTCACCTGACACCATGTAAATAACACAAAGCACATCATAGTGAAAGAAGGAAGGAAGGAAAGAGAGAAAATTAAAGAAAAGGGAAAGAAATGAAGAAAGAAGAGAAAAGAAAGGAAGAATGTAACTTGGATTTAAACCCGTATTTCTGGTCCTACAGCCAGTGTTTAATCCCAAGTCAAACTGCTTGGCCTTTTTATAGGAGCTTATTTCATCCCATTCCATTTCTATTCAGCATAATCACCTTCACTTCAAGAGAAAGACAAACAGCATCTGGTGTTCGCATTATAAACACTATATATAAAATACAAATGCATTGCCTCTGTTAGGACAGCCTAGATATGTAAGGCAAATCCAAATTCACTTTCTCTCAACTATTGTTGCTGTCTGTCTTACACTGGCAGCTGTTGAGAACTTCTTTGCAGGAAGAGAAGTATTTCCAGCAAGTCCCAGCTGTAAGAAAGCTTGATACCATCTCATCCCAGCACTCAGGCTCCTCACACATCCACACCTCTGTAAAGAGTTCTAACAGCTTTCCCAGCGTTCCAGACAAAACTCAGCCTACTGAGTGGGCTTACTGCCTTTTCCATCACCTAGGAGTACTTTACTTCTTCCCCAATCCCTCTGGACTGGTTGCCATTACTGGGCAGAAAAACATGAAGGTGTTTAGTCCCTCCCTGTGGCCTGTGAAGGCTGACCCCAGGTGAGCCTGGACATGGCTGCAGAGTGACCCCAAGAGCACTCGGCGAGCCCAGAGCACAGCCACA